TGCTGAATTGTAAGTTTTGAATCGCCTCAAATATGACTTCTCCGCGACGATTCGCACTATTGCTTCCCCAAAATGGGTGCCATCCATTCCAGTCGCCGCCGATGAGGGTCTTATTCAACCTTTGGCCTAGAACCTGTTCCATGTGATGATCACACAGACCAGTGTTTGGCGGAAGATAAATTGACGCAACTTCGATCGCTCCAATAGACGTAGGCAGGGTGATGGCTGAGACCTGCATTGTTGCGTTGCAAATTGGCAGTAAAGGTGTATGCGGTATTGTTGCTCGTATGAGGATTGAGGATCCACCAAAGCAGTTTGCTCCTTCACCATGAGCCTGATAGTGTTCGTATCCGAAAATTTGTGTAGTGGGGCACTCATGAGTTTCTGTTATTAACATTATATCTATGTTTTCTTGTGAGAGAAACGCAGCCAGTTCCTGAGTCTTGTTTCTCAGGCCATTGGCGTTCCAGATACCCACACGTAAAGCCATTATTTGTAGGCAAGCTTGGTTATGATGGCCATTAAACTGTTTAGCATGGTTGCTTGTTGGGATTGTACTTCTCGCATCGCTTTGAGCTCGGCATTAATTGCGTCAAACTGACGTTGTTGTTGCTGAAGCATTTCAGTGAACAAAGTGTCACTTGTGGTATTCTTATTTGACGGTCCACCTCTAGCGGCCTGTGCGTAAGAAACACCACTAATAGGCGTTGCAAAGCTCGTGGCTTGGGTAATGCTCCGGGGCCTTGTAATTTCGGAAGCAGTACTCGGACCCGTAGACGGTGTTTGTGTGGGACTCCTTTTTTGTGCTGGGGATTGCAATTTGCGCAACCGCTTGTATACTTGGCAGCCCTTATAGTTGGCTGGGTGCTGTAACTCACAGTGCACACAAGTTGGTGCCTGGTCCTTTTCGCGGGTGCAGTCTTTGGATGCGTGTTTCCCGGCGCAACGCACACATCTGGGAGCTTTGTGGCAGTAGCGTTGTGTGTGTCCAAATTCTTGACAGCGATGGCATTGTGTCAGGTCGTTGTATCTTCTTGGCAGTTCCACTGTGCAGCGTTGCCTGCAGACAACTCGAATGTCCAAAATTTCTTTGTTGTTGGGGGCCTGAGCCACGTCAACAAAAAATATATTTAGCGGTGTTTTGTCCATACGGCTCAGTGGGTTGTGCACATTTGTAATTGTGTGGCCTTTGGTTTCCAATTCCTTTTTAATTAGTGTTGTATCAGTGCTGGAGTGAAGCCCTTTGAACACGACTCTATATGGTTTGTCCTCCTTAAGCTGGTAGCAGTGGAACTCCAATTCCAGCTTAGTAAAGTGGTCTATAACTCTGCGATAGTCCTCACTGCATTGGGTTAATACACCTATGTTATTCTTCTTTGGCTTAATTACGTATGATTTAGCATCAATTACTTTATCTATTATCTGTTGAAGTAGGGCCACAGACTTGATGTTTGGACACCATATGGGGGGCGGACGAGGTTTCGGTGTAGTTTGCTGGTCGGTCAATACTGGGGCTTCTGGAGCTACAGGTGATTCGCTGTAGTCTTCATCTTCTTCTACGAGCAGTGAAAATCGATTTTCTGATATTAATGCTGCATTGCTGGTGCTTGGTTCGTCGAAGATGAGCCTTTTCTTGATGGTTTTTGGTGAATTTGGCTGTTTACGTTTCGTGTTTTTGTTGTTAGTGATGCCTTGCACGGAGGCGATATCTATTTTTGAGTTTATTGGCATGATGGAGGCTTGCCTATTTGCCATCACAACGTTAAGCTGGGCTTGCATTTCTGCATTTACCTTTACAGCTGTAGCGAGGTTATTGACATTAGATGTCATCGCGGATTGTGCTTTTGAGTGCAGGCGCACTCGCGCCAAGCGACGAAATTTCGTAAATTGCAATTAAAGCAATTGAGTTACGCGGAAGCAAGCGATAAGAAAACGCTGCGTGTGCGGTTTTTGTTGCTGTTGCGTTGAAGAATGCACCGCAAAGTTCTATTTTTAGAACTCTGCAGCAGTAGAGCTTAAGCGAAGGCTGTTCGAATTCACGTCTTTACAGGTCGAACGACTGATCGCGATTGTATATAATACTATTCGTCTCTTTTGTTGTGTTATCAATTCTGTTTGTAAGGAAGCGCCTGGGGACGCTTAACTTCTAACTCTCGTCTCTATACACAATGCTAAGTTTTAAAAATATTTTCCATCATCGTTTAAGTGTTGAAATCTGTCTGTCTAAACAATTAATCAATCATTCGTCTTGGGGAGGGGAATTTCTGCTCACAAGTTTTTCAATTCATATATATATATTTTTTTTATATTGTTTTCGTTTTTTATTTATTTTTATTTTAATTTTTTTGCATTTGTTTGCTTTGTCCATTCATAAAAACAAATGGTACAACTTACAATTTGGCACATCTTTAAAGATAAGTATTTTTTTCATATAATATATATTTTTATATATATAGTTTATATTTATACTTTATATAACGCCTATGCGTATGCTCTATGTGAAAGTGAACAAAAGCGGCGCTGGCTTATGGTTAGACTACACAGATTAAAGATTACAGCTTTAAGATTCGTAATTCTCATTCTTGCTCTTGTACTGGGTGTTTATAATTGGGTGTGTAAGAGGGCGGGGCGGGCGCACAGAAAGTATCGAAAGTGTTAAATAAAATTTAAAATATATAGTTTAAAAGTAGGTATGTAGTATACATATTATAATATATTTATAGCTGCAGTGTTTGATTGAGTTGCGTTTGCATTTTACATATTTATACTTAGGTTGACTTTAGTTCATACCTTACTTAAGACTGTGTTTTGTTTTTGTTTTTGTTTTAAAAAATTGCGGTGGAAGTTGAGTTTATAAATTTTTATGTATTCTATTATGTTAGAGTTTTAATAACTACTTGGTTTATTTCGCCTTGTATATCAAACCCAAAAGTATTTCATTTTCCTGTGTGTATGCTGCCAAAAAGTGTGATATACTTTTATTTTTCTAGATTTGTTAATATATGTATTTATTTCTGTGCTATTTAAAAGATTTCTTTTTTTTTTTCATTTTCATTTGCTTTTGTTTATTTTTTAATTTAATTAAGAGTCTATTCACTTGAAAGCTACATTTAATTTGGCAATTGTTGGGTTTGAATTGATTTGTTCCATTTATTATTATTTTCCCTTTCCTTTTGTTTTTGTTTTTATTCTTCTCTTTCACTTTCTTTTTGTGTGTGTCCGTCGTCCGCATAATAACTAAATCTAACTAAAAATCATATTTAAATATAAACTTTGGCTTGAAAAATGTCAACGTAATCATAGTTTAAATATTTAATTTTTGTTGTTTCTTTCCGCAATTGTATTTAAAGAAACACTCTGTAAACATCTAAAATCTGAGTATGACATAAATTGCTTCGAGTTGCTCTTGTGCTTGTGCGTGTGTGTGTATATGTATGTGTGAGTATAAGAAAATTCATAGTAATTATGTACAATCTCAAAAATTAAATATATAATTGGAAAATAGAAGATGAATAGCAAATGTTTTCGAGTTTCTTTGAGCGAAAAGGATAAATTCGAAGGAGCAATTGCACATATACACAAAAAACGAATTAAAGGTATACGAATTAGTTTTTTTTCTTTGTTGTTTTTTTTTTTTGTATTTTTTTTTTATATTTAAACAACGAGTATAAGTCTTAGGACAGTAGCTGTCTAAGAATCGAAATAGAGAACGAGGTCATATTACTTCTTGAGCATTTGTTTTTTGTTTTTGTTTTTGTTATTTCTATGGATTGGTTTTCTCCAACATACATTTCAAAATACACAACTGTATAAGTTAATTGTGTGCATTAGACTTGATAGAGTGTGTATAAAATAAATTCTTAGCTTGCTTAGGGAAGTTTTGTGGTCTAGACCAAAAAATTAACAACACTGAAACGATGTGAAGTTATGTAATATATAAATTTTGCTTTTTTTGTATTTTTTTTCGGATTTTGCTTGGTTTTTTTTGGGGTTTTTTTTTTTTTTTTTTTTTTTGGTTTTTACACAACACACAAAGAAAGTGCTACATAGTAAGAGCTAATAATGTAATTTATTTTAATGCTTACTACGAAATTTTCATGTTTTCATCTCTGTCACTGGAAGCTTGAATTTAAAAACTATTCTGCATTAATATGTTTATTATTATTACTCATTATATATATTTATTTGTTGTTTCTTCTATTAAAGACTTTTTTGTTGCTGCTACGGCCGCATTAAAGTAATTATTATTGTATGTTCCAAGGATATGTCTACGTGTTGATCTTTTGCATTTACTTATGCACTACGAGTTGAGCAATATCATTTTCATGTTCATTTTCATTGAGTTGACTTTTTGCATTATAGCTGCCGAAAAAAGTGTCTAGGAACAATCTGGAGCAAAGCAGATAAAAACATTTTAAAAATAAATAAGTTGACAATCATAAAATGAGTATTCTTTGGAGACTTTCAAACGTATAGAGAAATTAAGGTAAACGATTATCAGATGAATGTTCTGAAACTTTTTCTTTAGTTGTTTGGCAACTTTTTATCTCTGTTTTGTTTTTGAGTTTTTTTTTTTAGAAAAATAATTTTCAAATATACTATTTTGTTTTGTGTTTACTACAAACTACAATGCTATATGTAACAAATACATGAAACAGAAATCATCAAATTTATATATATAAAGATAACTTAATAAACAAAACTAAAAAGCAAAACTTGATCTGGGTATCTTGTCAATTATGGAGTTTGCAGCCTGAAAATACATTAGAATTGCTCATTTTTGATATACAATTACAATATCTATTGGTATAATAATAATATATCCAGTAGGTATATAATTTTTAAATATAAATTCTGCCGCACAAAATTTCAGCTTTTGTTTTTAGTAAAAATCTACGCGTGAAGCACGTTTTTTGCAAACTAATTGCCATTTAAATATTTTGTGTATACTGCATTTGTTTTTCTTTTTGTTTTTATGTTTTTTTTATGGACGACATTGATTTGTTTTTTGTTTAAAAAATTGTTGCTTTGTTTTTAATTTTACTCTTGCGTAATTGGCCGCTAGCTTGCGGCTGCTTTTAGCTTTGATTTTCAACTCTCCATTTTTTGTTTGAGTGGGTTCCGCGTTTTGTCGATCATCTTTGAGCATCTGTTTCTGCGTGTCTGGACCTATATATATAGATTCAACTGCTACATACTGCACTGTAGGAGGAGGAGTATTTACGTCTAATTCTTGTTCATACATTGAGCATTTTCGAGAGTAGTTCAATTGCGTTATTTGGCTGACTTCTGAAGCTTTTTAATATGGCGCGAAACGATTGTAGCCACCGCGGTATATTGTTGCCTGATTGATATTGGATATTGGAGTAGCAGATGGAGAAAATGGAAATTTAGTAATATTTTTAAACAGAGATTTTATATTTATTTAAGTCATTTGTCAAGCAATAGTTGCAAAGAGAAAAACCACTTACCCCATAGCCGGGCACGGGTCCAATGCCATGTCCAAGATAAGGATCCGCATACTCGCGCGCGTAACTAGAAATATTCCGTTTGCGGAAAATTAGTTAAGTTTGAAACGATAAATAGGTGATATAAATATGATATGGGAATGCTACAGATTCTTGATGCCTCCACGTGGGTTAGTTTTCTTTAGTTTGTGTGTGAGTTTTGTTTCGTTCTCAAGTGTGTTTCCGCACAGCATGAGTGTGTGCAATAAATGATCTTTTTTAATACCACTTCTTCTTCATCTCATTCACATCTTTTCATTTCTCCATCCTCTTATCAGTTATTATTAGTAGAAATTGTTTAATTTCGATACGGTTTTGCAAAAATGTTCAATTGTTAGTTGTAAGGCCTCAGTTTTCGGTGTTAGACATTTGCTACTCTTGATAAGTTATTTTATGAGTTTCGAATTGTATAAAAAAGAATCAAATCAAATTAATTAGTCAAGTGTTAAAAAAATTAATAAAAAAAAGGAAATTATATTAAATATATTATCAATCATATGAATAACTACGAAATATAATAGATATCAAATAATAGAAAAACAGTTTTGATAACTAAATTATTATTATTTTTTGAATGCAACATAAAATAGTCGATTTCGGAGTATCAAAACATAATCTACGGTTTAAAATATAATAATCTTTTAAAACATAAAACATAAAATAAAGTCGAAAATATACAAAAATGTCTTAGAGCTATCCATATGACCGGATACAGACAGATTAAGCAAATATAGACACCGAATATATATAAGATGTTTATGAAACAAATATATTTATACATTTAAACATAATAAATAATACAATAAAATAAGAAAATTGTAAGAAATAATACAAATAAATTATGAAATACAATAGAATTTTGTTGAAGACGGAGTTTATTTTTTCATATGTAATTACGAATAGATATAAGAATAGATCAATCTTAATGTTAACATATAAGCTTATTTAAGTTTTAGTTGGATTATTTAACGTTTTTAGTTTACGGATTTGTGGGTTAACTGTGGGTTGAGTCACGTGTTTCGTGGAGCATTTGTGAGCGATGAGTGTGAAACAGCTGAACAGTGGCTGATGCAGCGAATGGGACACGTGGAAAACTGAGATGAAAACTTACCCCGCTACGGTGGCGTAACCAGCGAGTGCTGGCTGGGCGGCTGCAGCTGCAGCGGCCCCGTAGGCGGCCCGGGCAGCGACCGCCGTGTAGGTGGTGGCATACGCCTGCTGCTGGGCCTGAGACAGGGGAGTCTTTAACAGCGGAGCAGTGGCCTGGAATAATGTGAAGCAAATTGTGTGTTAAAGGGGAAGGTAAATCGAGTAGATACAACGGAAACGACAAAACTAGCGACAGGTGATAGAGAGCAAAATGGCAAAAAGAGTTAAGAACCTAAACCAAAAAAAAAATAATAAATAAAATGATATATATGTATATATACATTTAATATTTATATATATACACATATATGGATTTAGAACCAAACATAAGAGGAGTGCAATCAAATTATATCAGTGCGTTTTTTACTCTTTGCTTATTATAGTAGACAGAAATATAATTTCAAGGATGTGACCAGCGAGTTCAAGCTATAAACCCAAGATGCCAAAGTCTTATGGATGTACGGAGTAAGTAAATGCTACAAACAAAGTTTCAAAAGTGCAGGGATTCATAATGAACTTATATCGTATATGTATATATAAAGATTATAGCTAGTATCGGATTAAAACTTAGATATGGGTGCAAGAGACAAAGCGCAGTCCCATGAAAATTAAAAACAGAAAAAACAACACACATACATAAAACAAACAATTTAAATTTGGGCACAACAAACTAATTTTCTAATGGATTTGAAAGTTGAATTTCATCGTTTTTTTTCAAATTTTTCTAGCTAAAAATGATTATTTTTACCAAAACATTCTGTGGTACCGGAATGCGGTTGATCGTATGTGGGGTACTGTTTAGCGTAGTCACAGTGCGGCGCTGTAAGTTTTTCGATATATTTGGTATAATTTTCGGTATTTTTTTCGTTTTAGTTTTGATAATGTTGTATAGATATTTGATGCAGTAGTTGTTGTGGTGGTGGTTGTTGTTGTTGTTGTTGCGTATGTTGTAACAGTCGTGAAAAAAGTAACCAAAAAAAGAATACATACTTAGTAAAATTACGAAAATGTTCACAGCATTGAAGAATAGTTATTTATATGCTACTTAATTATAGATTTAATTTAATTAATACCAGTATGTATATATAGATAGCAAAGCAGATTTCGCAAGAAGAAAAACCAAACAAACAAAAACTTGCGAGATTAAAATGTGAAAAAGAAAAAAAACAAAAATTTAAATATTCTTTCGCTTCAAAATAGACAAAGACAGACAGAAAAAGAGTGAAAGAGAGCGAGAGTAAGAGCGGCATGCAGCCTGAAAGTATACTATGCGTCTTTTTTATGGCCGCTAATTAAAGCATTTGTTGTTGTTGCTGTTTTTTATAAATTTTCTTTTTATGGAGACTACGCGTGTGATACTTAGTTGTAGAAAATGTGTTAACAAGATAATTAAGCGATGCATATAAGTAATCGCTTCGCAGATAGAAATAGACGTAATAGAACAATGATTAAATTACATGAATACGAGTATTTAAATACATAAAAGCAATTACTTATGTATGATATATATATATATATAGTTTTTTCGTTTTGTTAATGACACTCGGCCCTAGTTGGAATTTGTGATATATTTATGCATATATTTTGTTTTTGTTTTTGGTTTGTTGTACGTATACACGCTTGCTAATGCCAACAAATTTTACAGACTTAGTTGCACGACCAGTTACCAAAGGATAAGATAAACAATAGAAAACACCATTTCTCAATGTGTGGGTACGTAAGTGGTATATAAAAGTGTATCTCAAAACTCGTCGTTAGTGTTGTATGCATTAAAAAATATGTAAATCGAAAATAAAATCAAATCATAATCATAATAATAGGAACAAATAGAAAGAGCGAGAAATGTACAAACATATAGGAGAAGAATGTTCTGTTCAAAAACCAAGTCAAATATTGGTGTCTTTCACAAGTTACAATTGAAGGTAATGTGTGAATAAATGTGTATGTACGAGAGTAATATAAATATTGTAGTTTCAAGAACGTTCTTAATACGGTTTTGTTATGTTTTACGGTTAACGTATCAATCTGAATAGGTTTCATTACATTTAATATGGCGGCTGGCTGTGCGGCTGGAACTTCAGTGACCGGTTTGGCTGCCTGTAAAATTCATATATAATATATATATGTGTATATATTTATTTTTTTTTTCAAGAAGTTAGGGGTTTTGTTGTTGTTTAGCTAGCCAGCTTTAAACTATATGTGTGTATATTATAAATGTATCTTAGCATACATTACACTAATATTAAGCCTAAATGATTGTCTTAACTAGTAATCGCAGAGTACAATTTGTATAGACTTACCTGGAAGCGTAGATTTGGATCAGCGGCTGCTAAGAAGTGATCATAGTATACGCTGTGGGTGTTTAAGTAGAAGGATAAGATTCGTAGATTAATAACTAAGTAGGTAACTTCATTCATTAGTCTCGCAAGTCAGCAGAGCCCGATCAATATTGTGCACAATTTTTCCACAACATTTCAGAACTGTTCTGTTATTGATCGGACTTGGCTGTCACTTGATATTTATATACATATATAAATATATTTTATATATATATATATAGCACTTAAAAGCAAAATTCAAAAATTTTTATAAATATTATTTTGTCGTTTTTTATTATTTTATTTTCATTAATCTTTTTTAACGCACTTGTGTGTGGATTTTGGTTTGGGCGTTCTCAACAGAAGGCAAAGGCAAAGTTTTAGCGTAGAAAAATTTTGTAATTTAATGCGAAAACTTTGCCGGTGCCCTTTTCTGTTGTTTTTCTTTTTAATATTTATTTTTTGTACCGGGTACATTGGGTAAAATGGCTGAAACTCAAGGTGTAACTGAAAACGTAAGGGAGCCCTAAATGTAGCCTAACTTGAGCCCAACTCAAGCCTAAATTACCTAGCATCTAACTCTAACCTGCCTCATCTAATTCCTCCCCTCTGCCTGCGCTAACCTAACTGATGACGAGGTGATTATTAGATAATGCGTATGCACATGTAAATTATAAGTAGAACACTAGCAAGGATAATCAACCATATGTGGTAAGTACGAGGTTACAATACAACTGTCCCGAGTCTACAAAACAATGTATAAGAAACACTTTTCGAACTCTGCCCTTTAATAGACAGGAGAGACATTCATGCACCTAGCTAATTAGTTTGGTAGAATTTCATATAAAATGGTAGCATTATCATTGTTATCATTGTCAGTCATACGCTATTATTTAGTTATAGAACAGCAGCCACAAAGGAACATAAAATATAAACGGGTGTATTTGGAAATAATAATATAAATAATTGTTTGAGATATAGAGGAAACATGCGCGACAGCAGCAGCAGCAGACGCATCAAAAACATTTCTTTTAAATTCAATTCAATTCAATTCATATTAAATGTCAAATGTCATCATACGCCTAGTGGTACACAATATACAATATTACGTAGGACCCTTCAACCAAAGTAATCAAAAACTTATACGAATATTAAGATACGAATGCCAAAAGAAACTGCTCTCAGTCAAGAATAAATATGTTTTTGGGTATTTAAGTAGTTAATGTAGTAGTTGGCGTGCGTTAATTGGTAGCTGCTTTTATAGCTGTTGTTTGTTGTTGTTGTTGTTTGTTGATTTTATACAAGAGACAAGTCTAAACTTGCGATTTAATTAGATGGTACATTAGGCAAATGTGACGCTATGCATATATAGTTGGATATACTTATAAAAACGTTACACACACAAGGTAGCTAAATATTTCAAAAGAATCACCGCATAGACCAAAAATCGAGAGACAAAACAACGTTAAAGCTATAAACAAATTTGCGCTCGAAGATGGAATGGATGGATAGTGGGTGGGAGTGGAGTGGGTGAGGCTAATATCAGAGGGATAAGGATAAGTTAAGTGTGTAAAATAATGACAGTTGGAGAGAAGCTGCAATACCAGCAGCAGCAGCGTGCACAACACGGCGTATGCGTAATTATTCGTTGCATGCAATACAGTGAGCCAGTTGTTGTTGCTGCCACTGCCGCTGCTGTCAATGCAGCAATGCATTGTTGGCATTGGAGTTGAGTAAGCGTTCGAGAGCGAGCGTAGACACCACATGAACAAAAAGTAAGTGCGCTAAAACTACATTCAATATATAGAGATTATTTAACTAAAAAAAAAACCAAAAAATAAAATAACAAGATACAACTAGAGCTACATGGCAGTTTCTCTTTATGGCGATTTTTGCGACGACGACGTTTGGTTGTTTTTTCTTTTCTTTTTTTTTTTTTTTGGGCAACGTGGAGTGGGCTCTACTTACGGCGCAAATCCATGCAAAGCGGCAGCATTGTTGGCCGCATTAGCCGACGCTGCCATGGAAGCAGCAGCCGCAGCAGCAGCGGCCGGTGTTTGGGATGCCGTTGCAGCGGATAGTCGCGCCGCATACGCGGCGGCGGCAGCGGCACTCGCACTGCCCGTCACACCTGAGTTCTGTGCGGCTGCGGCCGCTGCCAGGGATTGCTGCAGCGCCGAGTGTTGCTGAGCGGCAGCAGCCGCAGCACTGCCAGCGGCAGTGGGCACGGCAACGGCCTGCAGCGTTGGCTGCAGCTGGGCTAGTTGAGGCGCGAGCGCATGCGCATGGGCATGCGGATGTGTGTGAGCGGCGGCGGCGGCGGCAGCAGCGGCGTGCTGTGAGTGTTGGGCAGCGGCGGCGGCGGCGACTGCGGCATGTTGTTGCTGTTGCTGCTGCTGTTGTTGTTGTTGCTGCTGTTGTTGTTGCTGCTGCTGCTGGTGCTGCTGTTGCTGTTGTTGCTGATGCTGCTGCTGTTGGGCAGCAGCTGCGGCCACGGCAGCGGCGGCCACTTGACGTTGCTGTTGCTGCTGAGCGGCGGCAGCGGCGGCTACCAGCGCCGGATAATGGTGCCGAGGATGGAAGGGTGTGGCACCGACCACGCCCATGTGTCTATGTGGCATGGCAGCTCCATGCATGGCAGCGGCGGCGGCGGCGGCTGTGAGGCGGTCAAAACGATTTTCTTTTTGGAATTTGATTTTTGATTGAGTTTTTTTTTTGCAACGATTTGTACACAACATTTTTACCAGTGTGTATGTGTGTGTGAGTGTTGTCAGTGTGTGTGTGGTTGGGTGTTTGAACACACGAATTATATTTTATTTACGTTTCGTGTGTATTTGTGTGTGTGTGTATTTGTGTTCGTGTGCAAAAAGTAGAAAAAAGGAAAAGAAAAGAACATAAAATGCATGCGGTTAGTTTCTCTCTCTTTATATAAGTAAATTTATATAATATATTCATTTATATATGTAGTATATAGCATAGAGTATATGTTTAGCAAATACTAGGCAATATGTAGTAACTGTTTAAATGTAAAGATATTTGAGTATCGATTGAGTTTAAATGATCTTGTTGGTATATACATATAACAATACATAAGACATACGTGAGCCAGTCATATAAGGGGAATTCGGTTTCAGAAACATACTTAATTAATATTATATAACATTGAATTACCAACAAATGCTACGCAGTTTTGTTTTGTTTTGTATATTGAGTGTATTATTTCTATATAAATATATATATATATATACGATTTATTATAATAAGACCATCCATTAACAATACGAAAACATTAGACCGATCTGCAGTTTAGAATAGAAACATATATATATATATAAATATAAATAGAGTTTGCATTTGACGTGTGTATGCGGCAAGACACTTTGTTTGTACAACTTGTTGCATTTAAATGTTGGTCAAACTATTTTAAAGGTATTCAGAAAACGAAGCAAAAGATAACGTTTATATGGAAAGTAGTACGATTCAAAAACCTTTAAACCTTTAAATACAATCAAAACTAGGAAAACACATTTACTAAAAACAATATTGATGGTGCCGAATGGATTAAAGCTAACGTTTACAGATAATAGACAATTAGATGATTGCTATGCGCGCGTGAGAACGATGGTGTCTGTGTTCAAGTTAATCCAGCTTAAAAACAGTTGGGCGAAGCATTCTGTACAATCTGTCAAATATCAATGGATGCCATCGCATTATTGAGCATCGACATGTAATTAAAAATACATTTTATGTTGCTCGTGACAAACAATTAGCAGTCAGACCGCAATAAATTGGACAAGAGCGCTGCGCTTTGCTGGCCATAATTGGAGATCTGGGAACTTGCACACAAATGTATTTCAATGCGATATGCCAAATACAAAAATTAATTACTGAATATATGTGAGCCAAAATCAAATTGCAAATTTATTTGCCTAGAATGCGAATCAAATTCGATTTCGCTGTTTAAATGCCAATTAAAAGCTCGGCAGAGATAATATTTACATGTAATATGGAATATTTGCACTTTCAGCAATTTCATGGCCCATTTCTGAATGCAATTGCCAAAAGTTAATTTCGATTTTTACTATTTACAAATAAAAAAGCATTAGAGCCAAGCAATCAAAGTTCCGAATTTTGGGCTGTATCATTTTGTGGCATGCAACAAATTGTAAACGTATCGTATCAATTTTTGACCATACTTCCTAGGCCCAACTTTTATACAAATAACCATTTCCATTTTCATTTTCATTTTGTTTAGTTCTTATTTTCCATATTTTTGGTAATGAAAACACAAAAAAGTCAGACGTGCAAAATTGCAAAGTAAGTAAAACATATCAAGAGTATAAACAGTTAGGAAAATTTTAAGAAATATATGTATAGAGCCAGAGCGAGAGAAGGATAGATAGATAGATATAGAGAAAGATGCTAATGAGACTAAATGAAATGCCTTTTATAAAACGCTTGCTTCGCAAAAATTGTCTACCGTCACACGATATAGGGCACTTTATAAACTACGTATTATGTAGGTAAGTACACTATGGTTAAAGCTAAAAACCTTTCCATACTTAAGAGCTAATTACAGTTGTCAGGTGAAATTGACACTAGTTGGTTGATTGGTTGGTAGATTGATTGACTGATTGATTGGTTGATTCTAGGGTTGTGTTTGCTTGTGGTCGCCTAGCCGTTGAACAATGCAAACTCAAGGGCGTCCAACAGATATGCAATATATAGTACTTAGCATATAGTCAAACCCAAATGCGTAACCAAAATAACAAGACAACAAATATATATGTAGGTAAGTATATGGTACAGATCTCAAAACTAAGTTTGTTGCTTGCTGTTATGCCTCTGTGTGAGTGTGTGTGTGTCTGTGTGTATGTGTGTAGTATTTACGTATGTCTCTCTGAGAGTATGTGTGTGCGTGTGTGTGTTTGTCTCTTGTGGAAGTCAACGAGTTTTCTCAATTTTTGAATTCTGCTTTTTTTGGCGCATACACTCAAAGAAATGCGATCGACGATTCAATTCAATGTACCTCCGCCGTGTCGTTGGTGGTGCTGCAGTTTGCGCCGTCACAGCTGCTGGGAGTGCGCTGTGCGCCGGATGGCGGGGCGCCAACACAATGGACGTGGCTGCTGGCGAAGCTGTGGGCGTGGGCGCGCTGTGCACCGCTGATGGCACCGTTGCCGCTTGCGCCACCGACAGTGGCATCTGCAGCGCCATCGGTGTCAACGTCGGCGCTCCGGCACCAACGGGCGCACCCAAAAAAGGCCAAGCGGCGGCCACGGGCAGCCGATAACCTTGAGGTTCACATATATGTTCATAAATTTTGTTAGATTGTATTTGTATCATTCGATGAATCAGTGGATGAATCTGGACTACGTGTGAATGCGTGTCTGTCATACACACATATATAAAGAGCTTTAAAGGTATATATGTGTGTGGGTGTATGTGGGTATGTGTGTGTGTGTGTCGTATTTACATTTCGAATTGTGGGATGCAGTGGTTCTTCGTTCGAATCGGGTTTTCTGTTGTATAGAGCTTAGGTCTAGTGCTTAATAAAGCTGTTTGGATCGCGACGAAAATTAACAGTTACATACATTCCTGTTTGTAGTTGTATATGTATGGATGTGTGTGTGCGTGTGTGTGTGTGAGTGTGTATATACATAAGTAATAATTAATTACGCTAAGGAGCATTGCCGACAATGTTCAGACCAAAGAACCAGACCAAAATATGTCAAAACATAAAACGAACTAAGGACATAAAACAAAACGCACATACAACAAAACTGATTAAATAAATGTGTCAAACAAAATGATATTGATTGTTCAGATATGTATATAAAATTATAGTAAATATATATATATTTATTAATAGTGTATATATATATATATATAGTAGTTAAGTAGTATGCATAAGACAACACAGCCGCAATATGCTAAAATTCATAACCATTATTAGCTGATCACAAGATCATCAGCATCATTAAGTCTAGAAAGAAAATGGTGACGCGCCTGATTTAAATGGGGTTTACGAGCGGTAAGTAACGATATTTGTTTATTTCAATTTGTTTTAATTGATTTTTCATTCGTGTTTTGTTTTCTATTTTTGGTTTAATTCTTTTTTTTTAAATTTGGCAAATATGGAAAAAAATACGAAAAAAAAAATTACATTAAAAAACAGTCATCAAATATTTAGTATTGTAAAAAAAAAGGTTTACGAGTATATAATATGCATACAGTTTAACTTGGAACCTAACATTGTAAATCAATAAATCTATTTAATTTGCATTTGAGTGGAGTTTGAATGGCTTATTGAAAATGTTTTCTCGAACTGTCAAAGATCCCAGAGTTACTTATAATACATTTCACATGAAGAGATATAGAGGGAGCTGCCTAGTATATATATATAGTTATATTGTCGTTGTTGTCTTTTTATGTACTTGGTTTCGCTTACACTCTAAAAATATACCAGAACTTATAGTTATATTATGAACTGAATGGGTCCCGTATATATTAAAGATAACTTATTGTTTCTGAATAGTTGTGTGAATATATTTAAGTGTGTGTGTGTGTATGTGTGTGTGCATGTTTTCAATTGTGTTATTTGAGAATTTATAACAAAATACACGGCAAGCAATAAATACAAAATACAAATACAGCAAAAGAATACAATAGAACGTGACAGAACGCTTACCTTCAGGCCATTGTACGCAAACTATAGTCAGTTGATTTATAGAAATCGGTGTAGTTATTTTTGTCGGTTGTTGTTGCATTTGTTGAAGTTGTTGTTGTTGTTGCGGGCATGGAAAAATCAAGAGAAAACTTAAAATTAGTTTTACATTAAATTGCGCTTTTATGTATATGTACAGAGTTTTATAGACATGACACGCAGGATCAATAACATTTACAAGTTGGCCCGTGCTAGATGCAGTTGCGGGATTTCTGTATTTTTTTTTAATGAAAGCTTGCGGGGAGAAGGGTTTGGTTGCCAGCACAGAACATGCATTTCGATATAACATATATCCTTTATTTATTTATTTTTTTTTTAAGTTTTTAGCTATGTTTGGAGACATTGAGGTAATTAACTTTTGACTTGACATGCTGTTTGTAATAAATAATTTGCCAATTTCTATCTCATCGACCAAATTTGATATGTGAGCGCACAAAATTATGCAATGAAAAATTGAAATGCTTCACAATGATGCAAAAGCTAGTTAAATAGCAAATAAACTGTCGGTTGCGCTTCCGCTATTTGCTAAACAATTTATTTTCTAAAACAAACACATGACGGGGAGGGTAAATCGAAAAGCACATTAAAATAAAATGTCAAATAGACATACACAGTCAGGAGTTGGAATTGTTGTTTCTGCTGGTTGGGCATTAAGCTGACTATGTCAAAGGATCAACATAAGCAAATATACATATGTATATATTTATATATATAAACATGGATATGTGTAGGTGTGGGGGAATCTTACATACATTACAGAAGGCAAAACTTTCTGCAAAATGGAGCACAGTGTATGAGTGAGAGTGTGTGAAAGAAACACATTTGCATAAGACACAAGACGAAAGCAACAAAACTACGACCTAGGGACATGAAGGACAAGAAGGCATCTGGAGTGGTAAGAAGTTTTTGATTTTTTGCTTCTAAAATTTATGTGTGTGCCGCAACATGTTTGCAACGTTGTGTGCTTTCCATTTTCTTTGTAATTTATCCTTACTACTCGCCTCACCCTCGTCCCCGCTCTGCATGTCTTTTCCAACGTAACGAGCAATAAGACAACGTGAGCTGTGCCCTTCACTCCTTCTAAAGCTAATGCTGCCCGTCTTTTGCCAGGCAAGTGAAGCCAGTTCGAACGTGATAAAGTGAGTGCTTCCCTGCCTTCCCCACTATTCCGCTTATCCAGCAAACTACTATACCTCTCAGTTTGTCTGACTATCTGTCTGCCCGTCTGGCTGTCTGTCTGACTGACTATTTCTATAATATGCTGGCAGCCGCATAAATAGCTAGGCGTCCCAGCGGACACACTGCTTGCATTTAGTGCAAACGCAAATGAAGCGCATTACGTGCACGTGGCAGAGAGCAGTGGAGGACTGTGGCCAGGGCGAACCAGGCTGGAAAAAGCCAGGCCACGGCAAAGGCACCTAAGGCAAAAGATGCTGCCTGCAGCCACAGCCATAGCCGCATCAGCATGTGCAGCATCTCATCTCCAATCTGTAGGTCTGTCCCGTGCGTCCGTCCGTCCCTCAGCCCGTCTGTCTGTTTGCGATACAAAAGCATTTTGCATGTCCTGTTCCACATGCAGGCAAAAACTCCGTGGGAGCAGCCGCTGGATACATTTCAGCTGCTTCCCTTTTGCTCGTTCAGCTCTGTTCAGTTTTGTTTGGTTGGGTTGGTTTGGGTTTGGGTTTGGGTTTGGCTTGCGCTGGGTTCGTAATCGGCTTATCGTATTTGAGCGAAACTAAAGTATAGATTTTGCGCTGTGAATACTTTTTAATGGCAACTTGCATGGAAAGACGATTTAAATCAGCAGTATTATTTATTATACATGGCATGGAAAACTTCTCCATGCCGTTTTTTTTATCGTCGCTTTGCGTCTGTCTTTTTTTTTTTTTGGTAAAGGAGCAAACTTTGAGGTAACCACAAGCTTAAATAAAAATGTGTGTACTGCAAAAGTAACATTAAATAACTAAGAACTTCTAACTGACAAAACTTCTCAAAAGAAACCACACTACAAGTCCAGAGTATATATATATATACATATATATGTTGCAGCTGCCTATGAAGTTCCTGCTGCCAAATGAAGTAATTGTAGGTACAGAAAGAACAGAACAATCATAGAAATCATGGACAGTATTCATGCTGGGACTGTGAGTGTAAATGCTTGTATGCTTAGATAAAATCGTTTAGTTGTGGGTATTACAGGTGTTTTCGAGTTGTTTAGCCAATATTGGGGTTTGTATCATGCCACCGTTAGCGTGCAACATGCCAGGACAATGTTGACTATAGAGTTGGGTGCTATATAGTATAAGGGTTAGGCTGGATCATGATTAGGTGCCTATGGCTATGGACAACATTAAGTGGGTTAATTATGCACGAGCTATTATTGTTTATTTAGTTTTTTTTTATGGTTTTTTCTCTTTGCAAGCAAGTTACAAGACAACACAAATTTAATTTTCCATTTATATTTGTTCTCTGGTTCGCTCACCTAGAGCTGGAGCCGGTAGGGCACCGTCTTTGGTCAGTACAACTGTGTGTGTTGGTGTGTGAGAGAAAACAAAATAAAAAAGGTATTTTTATTTCGTAGTTATCAGATTGTGTTCAATCATCAGTAAACAGTAATCAGTTTATAATACAAATTGAAGGACAAACACTTAAAATCCATAACTCCGGTTAATAGAACAAACAAGGCGAATTCTTATCAAACATCTGTATGTGTTTATATATGCGTGTATATATTGTTTGGTTAGCAACCGCAAAATTGGCAAAAGTTGTTAGTATGGCCATTCAGTTAGCAAGTTTTGATTGCCTAACGCCTTGACATACGTCTTATCAACAAGTTCCTCAAATTAAATCATAAGCAATAACAAATTTCCACGAACAAACATTTTCATTAGGAAACATTCGCTTAGCTTTGCTAGCATTGCAGTTGCAGCCACCACAGAACTTTATGTGAAAAGTTCAACTTAAACAAAGAAAATAAAAAATAAAAGGAAAACCGAATTTTAGAAAAACGAAATCAACGAAATTTATATCAACACTAAGCGCAACAACGGCAATGGCCAGTCAAATATTATGGCAGTTGTGTTCAAGTTTTTATTGTTTTTGTTGTTGTTGTTGCTTTTGTTGTCGTTGTTATTTAAGTTGCCTTTTGCGTGCTTCTCATTTCTTATAGTTCTTCTAGGCCAGACGTAATTGCATTTCTTTGTTCAACATTTAAACTTGTTTCGCTACATAGCTTAAACTAAGTTCTATATAGGTGTTATACGTGTGTGTGTGTGTAAGTGTGTCTGTGTATATTGTGTATATATGACCGTGTGTGTGTTAGAGCAACTTACCGTTGGGTACTGCCGTCACTTTTTGGTTTGTACACGTGCAGTGGCGTTATTCACCTTCACAATGGTTATTGGTAACGAGAGAGTTCGAGTAACGAGTAGAGTTGAGTTGAGTTGCAGCGAGCGTGGTGGGTTTTGGTGGTGAGTTTTGTTGTTGTTTTAATATAATGTACGCATTATATAGATTTATTTTTATTGTTGTTGTAAATTATAGTTTAATCGCATTTCGCATGTACAGAGAACGTAGAAATAAATTCTGTGTTAGTTAACAATTACAATTGCATGAGGTGTATATATGTGTATGTGTGTGTGTATGTGGTTAAAGCTGTGAGGGCAAATTATTTAAAAAGTTTCCTTTTCTTTTTAACAGCTAAAATCCATTACCAATATTTGTGCTTGAAGTTCATGTGTCTTCCCTGTCTGTTACTTAAAGCCATCAATATTATTTTTTCACTCGCCCAACTGCAATTCTGCATAATTAGGCAGCTTTCGGGTTTCGATGGCGCAGAATACAATGCAAATGAAAATAATATTAAAAAATGATTGTCGTCTCTGGGGGGGGTCGCAGTTAAATTGTTTAAATATCAGTTGGCACTTTGCGCATTTTCAGCATATTTTAAATGCCAATTATTTGCGGCTGCCCACTTAACATAAATACAAAAATTGGTGAGCTGTCTGTCTGTGCGCAAGGAAATGCGAAATGAACGCAAAAAAGTAATTAATTTTTAATTAAAGGCAAATAAAAAAGGCTGCGCATAATTTAAAAATTAATGAGCATTCGATTAAAACACGAAATCAAAGTGCGCTGACCATGTGTGAATCCGATTTTAAATACGCATTGCATTGCCAAAAAGCGCAATCAATGCAGACCGAATTTCATAAAAATGGCAAATAAATGAAATAAAACTCTTTCTGCAATGCGAAAACACGTGAAAACTATTTCACGTCACGTAGACACGCAAACTCCGAGACTTGAAAACCAATTTCTTCACATCGAAATTCTTTTCCCTACTCTATCTATATATACATATATATTTATATATATATATAAATATATATATATAAATTTTGTGGCACATAAGAAAGTTGTGATAGTTTTGTAATTAGTTCTAGATAATAGCTGCCCACTGCATGTAACTAAGTGTGTAGGTGTGTTGTGTGTGTATGTGTGTGGATGTGGATGTGTGTTTGAGTGGTTTATGGTATTGCTTGCATGCACCCACCTCGATTTTGCGTCCCTCAACCACGGTGCCGTTTAGACGTTCGCGTGCTCGTTCTGCATCGTTGCTGTTAGCGAATGTTACAAAACCGAATCCCTGCCATTCGCAATCAAACATGCAATTAAAAAACATATAGAGTATATAAGTAGATGTGTATACAGAGATATAACATATACAGGTAGAGTATATGGTATATTTATATATAAAGTACGATTTAAAAACAAGGTTGGCACCGACTCATACTGCTAAACTACAATATAGTACACACGAAACAGAGTGGAAGGGAGATAGGGGCCGTGGGCATGCGGGCCCCAGCATCTTGGGACATGCGTCAGCGCCTTAAATTATGCACATTTTCGTTTTGTATAGCAACAGCGCCCGTTGCTATGCAATTATATTTGCGAGCGGCGTCTGCTTAAGGGTACATTGAAGTTTTGTCGTTACAACTGGTGTCGGAAAATGGAGGGACAGGACATCCAAGTGATATTTGTAGCCAGAACACAATGGTTCAAGGTTGCCTTGGCAACGTCACCGGACAAAAGGACATCACTTCACTTAACAATGGCTCAAGTGCCCGCTCGGTCTGTGCATAATTTAAATGAATCGTGCAACAGGATAGAGAATGGAGGAGGATACATCCTGTAAACTTACCTTGCTGCCGCGCTCATTGAAGATGATTTCCACGTCCAAAATGTTGCCAAATTGCTAAGAGAGAACATAGTTTGCGTTATTATTGTTGGAGATGGTAACTTGCTGCTGTAGGCTTACCCCAAACATGGCACGTAGATCGGGATCTCTGAAGCGAAACGGTATATTAGAGACATGTAAGCGCTTGGGTTGCTTTTGGCGTCCAGTGTTGCGGGAGCGGCCATGGCGGCAGCCACCGACGAGGAGACCGGCTGGACTTGAGCACTGTTTAGACTAGTGACCACATTGGGTGATTGCGCGGTAGCAGTCAGAATGCCGCTGACCGTGGCCACGCCGCAATTGGCAATACTATCCAGACCAGCTGTGGGCAGCAATCCTGTCGAGAGATGCTGCTGCTGGTTGCGGCCAAGGTGCCCGATGCTGGATGGAGCTGCCTGTAACCGAGGTGGCTGCTGTGGGACTGTTGCTTAAGTTGGAGCTGTTGTTGCTGTTGCTGCTGTTGTTGTTGCTGTTGTTGTGTTGCAGCTGCGTGGTGTTGCAGCAGCGGCTCACCGCTGGAATAGGTGATGTGTTGCCCGAGATGTTGCCATCGTTCGAGATA